AACAGTTGTTGTACGTTGGCGAGGCCATATGGCAAAAATATAACATCACGATACTTTAAGACTTTTTCTCAATACACAATATGCATCACAATGTTTGGTTTGTCTGAGGTTTGATAAGTCTAAACAGACAAAAAAGATCCAGCAATGATGCATTTTAAAAAATGCCATCCAAACCTATGAGTGTGTATTTTTTTCATACTGCGCTCTGCTAACATCTGATTTACATGCCAATATATTTGTACATTTGCCTCAGTTTCCAACAGCTATCTATACATGAGCTGTAAGAACTGAAATAAGGGAGCTGGTAACACCCATAAGAAGTTAGCAATTGACACTTATGTGTTTTTTCTGATGCTTACTGACAGCGGTGGGATCCGTTTTGAGCAAAGAAAATACAGCATATAAACAGCACATGTTCGTGATCTGGTTACAAAAATCTTAACATTTTCTCAAACATTAGGGTTAATCCAGCTATCATACAAAATCTGCTATTAATGCAAAGAAGTCTTTTATGTGAACTTTGTTCAGCTCTCTCGTTTTGGTTTCTGTTGTCTAAATTCATTTACATTTTTTGTTGGCTAGTATTTACATTTTTTAGTTGGCTACTAACTAGTTTTAGTGCTGAGCTAGTTTTTGTTTGAATCCTGTGCACCCATTGTTCCCAAAAAGCATCAAAAATTATCTTCACATATTAAGTTGTTGTTGTTTTTAATTAAGTTCAGTAGTATTAAAATTCTTTTCATATGTAGTTGTACTACTCTTTGTGTATACAGTTCAAGGTTCAAGTTTATTTGTCATTTGCACAAAATGCCAGGACATTCATGCATTGAAATGCTTGTGGTGAGGCTCAGGTAATCACTCTACAACAGGGCAGCATTATATACATACTAAAAACAGTGCAGACAAAATACAAAGTAAAAAATACAAAAGAAAGTACTAAAACTGAAATATTAAATATACATATATACAGCATGGCTGTTATGGTTATCTGTGTGCCATGGATCTTGTATTTCATTTGCAGGGGTAAAAAAACCCAAAACAAAACAAAACAAAAAAAAAGACTTAAATTAGGTGAACGCATACTGACTTGTTCAGGACTCGAAGATTAGGACTGTTGACTTGGGACTCGACTGTCTTGATTTGGGACTTGACTCAGGACTTGAATGTGAAGACTTGAGACTTACTTGTTACTTGCAGCTTAGTGACTTGTTCCCACCTCTGCTGCTTAGGCATTAAAATTGGGAATTGAATGACATGGAATTTTCCCATTCTTAGTAGTGTAATTTGATCGGTAGCATAGATGCATTGAATTTCCCAGTAACTACCATAAAAGACTTGGTATCCACTATGAAGCAGTGTCGTTATAGGAGTGAGGAACTGAGATGTGGTCCACATCAGGGCTGTGAGAGTTTAAGGGGTTAACAAATGGCTGTAGTGACCTCACTGTGTTTATAATGAGTGACCCTGTTGCTTTGTGACTCTCTGTACACTTACACTCATGCACACCTTAACGCTGTGCGATGCATTGGCCTCGATGACCTTTCCTGCTGGTGGACTGTCCGTGGGAACGAACTGCAGGCCTTTGCATGTCCCATCATTACAATGTGTTTAGCCAATTAATCTCTCTTAGAGTGAAACCCACATTCTTCAGAGACAATAGACAATAAACAATGCCGGTGACGTAACTGGACATCAAATTAGAAGGGACTAAATCCCTGAGCAAGGCCCACTCAGTCCGACTTGCGGGCTTTTACTGCTCAGCTTGATAAACACACCCACGGATTAATGCACTGATATCACTGCAAGACTATTTCATGAAAAACAGGTCTGTTTACACAGCAAAGCATGTTTTTTTTCTGCCCAGTATGTGGGAGCTCCCTCTGTCAGACCTTGTATGGTCAAATAAAAAGCTTACATGAGCTCTACTTCTGTTTGCACTTGTAATATTGTTGTAAACATACTTTATAGCGATGTAGCTTTGGAGCTCATCTTGATCTGTATGGGTTTTTCACACCACTCCATCATTGTGTCGCTGTGAATTCCAGATGCTATTTATGTGTCAATAATACCTCATATATCTCATTTAACCTCCAGCATTCCTGGCTTATTCTTATTCTCTTACTACTGTGTAGCTAATGTGTACGTTCTGCAGTTATGAGAGCAGGGATTTGAAGTTTGACCCACATGTTGAAAGGTTTGAATAGTTAAAGGCATGAAATTTAAACACTTCATCAGTGTATTAAAAGATTTCTAAAAGGATCACCTTCTCCTGCTCGGCCTAGTTGGTCAGACTTTCTGCTCTTTTTTTTTTAGTCTGTCTGTGGGGGACATCGGGATGATTATGTAAGTTTCTGAAGAGCCGAAAAAGATGCTATTGGTAAGATTAGGCTGCACAATATGCACAAAATAGTGTATTTCACTTATATTGCTGCATGGTGTGATTGTGATATACCTTTCAATATGTTAAAGGACTACTTAAGGAGTACTGAATATAAATAAACATGGCTGACAATAAGTGGAGGCCAGTAACCAACGATTAACATGATGTAATTTGCATCATGCTAATTCATGGGCATTCACTTGATTACAGTTAATAAGCAATACATTGTGCAGCCCTGCAACCCAAGTTGTCGGGTAAAGGCCTGCATCTGCAAATCTGCGAGCATGTGCAGACGTTGTGCATGGATGTTCACATAACTGTTGTCTAAATTGGAACAGTAGTGGACGCTATGACCAAAAACTTTAGATCAATTAAAACAACTTAAAGTTCATGCATTTTCAGTGTATGGATCATTCTGACGACAGTGGTCCCACAGTAAAAGCATATTAAAAAAAAAAAACGATAAAGTATTCAGATCTCGGATATTTACAATAACTTTTATGATTTGTTTAAACCCATGGCGTTAATTGAGATAGTAATAAGCTAAATATTGTTGCTGTCTGAAGAAAACCATGTATCAATCATTTCAACGACCCAGCTGTCCTTTATATTATGTGAAAATTTCACGATGAATGGACAAATAGAAATGCTGTAAAATCACTTGTAACAAAATCCCTTTACATTAACTTACATTGAAAGGTAAAAGTGTTTTTGGCTTCACCTGTAAAGTTACTATTTTGGAGATTTGTTTTTGTTTGGACAGCGATGATATAAACAAAATTATCATTTAAAGAGTACTTTCTATTGAGAAATGTCTGGCCCAGACTCCAACCCCTAAATTTACACTTGTGAAAACAATACCTACATTTTTTGTGTTTTTACGGTCTTTTTGATTTCTTTTCAAAGTTTTAGATTTTAGTTTTAGATTTAGATTCATTGTGACTTTAAAAAAAACAAATACTGTCCTACGTCTTCATGTGTCTATCAAAACACAGTTTTAGTCAGTATGCGGAGGCTTTTGTAGCCACACCCCTCAACTGTTCAAAGCTGTTTTTGCTAGTCATATACTGGCTAGTGTTTTGAAATTTTTTTATATTTTTATATTGAAAACTGCTTGTAGGTTAATGATTGCGTATTATTCTGGAATGTCCCTTTACTTTTAATAATGTTTAATAACTACTGCAGGCCTGTGATGGACTGGCGACCTGTCCAGGGTGTTTCCTGCCTTCCTTTCAGTGACTGCTGGGATAAGCCCCAGCACCCCCCACGACCCAGAAGGATAAGCTGCTCAGATAATATGCGTGTGTGTTATAACTAATGCAAGTCTAAAATAATTGCTAGGCCTTCAATTTGAGCCATAAATGTCAAAAATATACCAAAACATTTTCTATGATAATGCTAATTTCTGCTAGTATCCAATTAGGATTGTAGTATTTTGTTAGCGTCAAGCTAAAGGCAGTTCACATTAACATTTTTGGCACTTCTAGATTAAGCACAGGCATTTAAAGCTTCTAAAAGACATTCCATGTTTTACTTGCAGCTTGTGAGAGACAAATGAGCAAATATTTTCTTTGAGGAAGCTTCAAAGTGACTCTGAGTAGAGAGTTCTGGTAAAGCTAACGCTGTTTTCCATTTCCAAAAAGCCGTATATTAGGCTGCTGCTCGTGTTCACAGTGGTGATGTGAAGGACTTCCAGATGTTTTTTCTCACAAAATTGGAAATCAAAGTGTGATTGGTTGATTGCTTTGTCACTTCGTAATAATGCTGAAGGTTAATTTACTGCATTATAACTTCTCTTCAGCTACTGAAGCCCTAACCAATAGGAGAGCTTGCTTAGCTATATCTACCTAGACACCATGGAGAAAAACAACTGCTGATTGGCTGATTTTCCACTGAATGTTTCAAGAATGTATTCCTTATGTTTCCATTAAAAACTTAACAATGAAACAAGAGTATTTCTGTAATACTTGCAGAGTTTAAGTACCAGCAGGATAATATTGACTCATAGAATTAACTAGAATTACAGACCGTATTTTTTTAGTTCCCAGAAATCATGAGGCCTTCTCTGAAGGTCTAGGAGGTTCTGAGGGCTCCTCTCTGTGTGTTCTGTCTCTTTTCCTCAACTGGTCCTTGATTTTTTACAGTAGTTCTGGTTCAGGGCAAGTATTGTTTGGGTCCCTTCCCTCCCCCAGTGCTACCTGGTAGCTGATCAACGTTCGCTTGACACACAGCTCTGCAGACTTGCGCAACGTGTGCTAGAGATTTTAGAGGTGTGCACATCGTGGCTGTGAACCTCTCACATGCACGCTCTCCCATGAACCTCTTCTGTGAGCCCCAACGCTGATATGTTTGCATGCATCTTAGCAGAGTCATAAATCAGCCTTAATGCTGTTGCATCATTACCAGTTCGGCTGTGTTTGCTTGTAGGCTACTGTTTGTGTCCTGTGCACCATGTGCACCCAAATCTCTCTCTCTCGCTCGCTCTCTCTTTCTCTCTCTACCTTCTTCTTCGTCTCTCTCTTTGTTCATTATGACTAACATGTGCCATGGCAGTGAGCAGTGTTGCGGTGGGTGTCCTGACGTGTCCTGGGGGGATGTTTCTGTTTCTCTCTGATTGCAGGGAAGGCCAGTTCCAGCATTTCCTCCGACCTGAGTTCAAGTACGGATCAGACATCCACCAAAGCTCCAAAGAATGCAGCTACCAGCGAAGGTAGGGCATCTGGTCCTCATTAGCTGTCACTGGGCTGCCTTTTCTTTTTCCCCCGCCTTTTTTTTGTCTTGTTGACTATTTTTGGAAAAAAATGAGGCCTTTTTTTTTTTTTGGAAATCTTTTCAATTGAAACCAAAGCGGCCACTGTGATCATCGTTCAGAGTGGAGGTTCTGAGTCAATTTTTATTTTTTATATTTTTCAAAATTGAATCTGCAGTCCTGGTCCGGAGTCAGCGGTGCTGGTAGAAGGAGAGCATCTCAGGGGAGGTTTCGTTTGGGAGTGTTGAAATGGGGAGGTTACAGTTTAGGGGGCACATTTCTATGTTGATACCTGAACTTCATGTTTATGTATTAACTCTATGATTCTGTCCACGTTCTCTGTTTCATAGAAATCATAGGGCCTTACAAATCGCACACTCACATGTAAACGGCTCAGTTTACACACAATTTCATACACACAGTATAGCAGTTATTCACACTGTAAATGTTAGGTTGCTGGTTGCGCTGGTCTGAGTGGATCAGACACAGCAGGGCTGCTGGAGTTTTTTAACACCTCAGTGTCACTGCTGGACTGAGAATAGTCCACCAACCAAAAACATCCAGCCAACAGCGCCTTGTGGGCAGCGTCCTGTGACCACTGATGAAGGACTAGAGGATGACCAACACAAACTGTGCAGCAGCAGATGAGCTATCGTCTCTGACTTTACATCTACAAGGTGGACTAACAAGGTAGGAGTGTCTAATAGAGTGGACCGTGAGTGGACACAGTGTTTAAAAACTCCAGCAGCACTCCTGTGTCTGATCTACTCAGACCAGCGCAACACACTCTAACACACCACCACACCACTGCAGTGCTGAGAATGATCCACCACCCAAATAGTACCTGCTCTGTGAGGGTCCATGGCGGTCCTGACCACTGAAGAACAGGGTAAAAGGGGGCTAACAAAGTATGCAGAGAAACAGATGGACTACAGTCTGTAATTGTAGAACTACAAAGTGCACCTATAGAGTAAGTGGAGCTGATAAACTGGACAATGAGCGTAGAAACAAGGAGGTGGTCATAATGTTATGCCTGATTGGCGTATACTAACAGTGTTTATCCATATATTCTTAAGGTATTGCTAATCATATCTGGCAGCGAGCAGCATCCACCCTCCTCTGATCAGCCGTTAGCCTCGCTGTGCTAAAGTTCCTCTTGCTACTGCGGCTACTGCACAAAAGCTTAACGTGCTTTGGGCAAGATTCACAAGCAAGAGAAAAGATAAGCTACCATCAAACCAACGCATCACTCTCACCGTCCATGGTTTCATTCAGGGACATCTTTCCCAGTTCCTTAAACTCCAGAGCTATTCTGAACTTAGCTACCATTATAAGAAAGAGAGAGAAAAAGAGAGAAAAGTACTACATAAAAAAATCACTCATAAGAAAAACATGAGCCCGACTGTGGCCCGAATCTGATCCAGAACCCATTGAGCAGCAGACCTCTACTGTGAATACAATACAATAGCAGGATATTTTGCTGAGTGATATAACTGTAGACACAGCTCGTAAAAACTGTTTTACTGTCTGTGAATCATCTTGATCATAGATGTAGTATCATATATAACTGAATTTGGGTTAGAATGGTTGGTTATGTTGCAAAATCCACAAACCTGCAATGTGCGTCATCTCAAATTTCTTGTTCACCTACATTTTGAATGCAAACAGCATGTAATGATATCTTTTTCACAGAACTTAGTACAAACCTAACCATGGAAATGGGTGTAGCGCAGCCATGGGAGCTGATTTGTGTATCAGTGATACCTTTCTTACCATTCATACCAGTCTTAGAACATACAGTCAACTCCCAAGTCCAGTCTCCAGTTGAAAAAACAGCTGGACACAACCATGGACACAAATAGATTTTTATCTGTGAATCCATATTATTCAAATTCTACCATCTGGATTGATGCACAGATATTTAGTGAAACCCTTTGTGCTGGTGGGCCCATAGTGTTATTACACACTTCTATAACCTAAGAATAGCTCCGCCAGTTTACATTGAAGCCCCTGTAGTTACTGCATAACCCTGAATAAGCCTGGGATTTCATGAGGTCAGTAAAGACGGTAGTCCTTCATGTTTATTTTCCACAAAGTTAGTGCTGCTTCCAAACTTTTGGCCTGTAGTTTATTGCTAAACTCACTGTGTCCTTGCACAATGTCTTGTCTCCAGAAGAACAGCAAAGGCCGCCTGCCTTCTCGTCCCTGAAACAACAATAACAGTCTGGCGTATGTGGATCCTGGAGCGGCCCGGCAGGGGGGCGGAGAGTGTATGGAGTGTGTGGAGGCCAGGGAGAGTGTGTGTAGCGTGTTGAGGGCGGAGGTTTCTTCTCCTGGGAGGGCCTGCTGGGAGCCAGGCTGTGGTGTGTGTATGTGTGTGTGGTTGCAGGCCGGAGTCCATCTCGCTCCCCCTGTGCGTCGCGGGGCTCGCCCCAGTCTCTGTCTGCCCGCCGTCCACCCGCAGTAATGTCGGAGTAGCTCTACGGCCGACGGCTTCGGAGATGCTGATTTATGGCCGCTTATTCTCGTGTCAGCAGGAGGGAAGAGAAACGCTTAATCCTGCACGGCATAAACTTCCCTCAGCCTGTGCTTTGCTGGCTGCAGAGTTGAACTGCTATCATTATCAACAGCCATTTTGTCAGAAGATAACCAACCTTGCCTTTTCAAATTAAATGCTTTTCTTAAAGGGATCCACACCAGACTTTCTTTACTTTTTATAAATAACAGTTTAAAGTCCTATGGGTGCATTGTTAACCGCTTAAATGGCCATGGCCCAAAGTCTTATTACACACTTCTGTAACCTTAGAATAGCTCAGCCAGCTTGCACTGAAGTACTGAATAATAAGCCTTAGTATGTAATAAGCCTGGGATTTTAAGAGGTTGAAGTCTTATAAGCATACTATTCCCTTTCCTGTCTATATATGCAAAAAAAAACAGCTCGATTTGAATCCGTCATGGTTGTGATGTCACAATCATGAACACATTTTTATGACCAGCCTATAGCAGTTAAGCAAACGGCAGACTTAACATTATACATTGTTTCTATACATGGGCTGCTTTTTCAATATCTTGAGCCCCTTTTCATTACTGAAGGCCTCAGCCAATCAGAACAGAGTTTGTTTACATATATCAGTCTTAAAGGCATAGTAGGAAAACAGCCTGTTTTGTTATTATGCACACATCCAACACACATCTCTCCGCCCTCATTTACATGGTTAATTTGAGTTTTTTGGGGGAATTTTTTCAGCCATGATAAGTTATGCAGCATCCATGGGCTAAACAGCTGGCTTGTTGTCTGTCGAACTGGGTTGACAAGCACACCATCGCCCCCTACTTGTTGTGCCTTTACGAAGCACTGGATTGTTTTAAAAATTTCACGCTCTAGGTTCCTAAAAAGTCCACGTTCCCACCTACGTTTAGCCCAAAAATTTTCATGGTTACCCCCAGATGTGATTTCATAATGACCCTAAAACACTGTCAACCAGGTTCAGTCAGGTTCTACTCCACTCAACTCCGTAGTGAGCGTCCAGCTGTCTCTACAGAAATATACACTACTGTCCAAAAGTCAGGGACCCCCTTTGTATATTTAATTTCCAGTCAAAACAACCATTTAGTACAAGTTATTCTCCTTTCAGGAGATATTTTGGAGGAGATTAGAAAAAAGAATGGGAAGGTCAGAGGAAAACAGTGAAAAAACAAGACTTTACAAAACTGGACTTGAAAAATTATCAAAAGATACAGAGAAAATGAGACTCTGAACAACTGTGCATGCCCTGGTAGACCAACAAGACTGACCACATCAGATAAACAGCACTTAACGCTTTCGTCTTTGAGAGAGAGGAGAAAATCAAGCTGCTTCAGAACTGAAAACATCCACAGGTGTTTCTGTCCATCCTTCCACTGCAAGAAGACAACTCAGCGCTATGGGTCTGAAAAGATGTGTAGCTGTCAAGAAGAACCTCACTGAGAAAAGGAAGAAGAAATCAAACAAAGAAGCTCCTGGTGTTCTCAGAACAATTGACTGACCACTCCAAAGTCCAGGCCTCACCATCACTGAATGTGTTTGGTATTACTTGGATTGTAAGAAGGAGAAAATGCAACCAACGTCTAACACCGAACTTTGGAGGTTTGAAAAACTGAAAGTCAGTCTCTGAAAAGAATGGACGCTGTAATAGAGACAAAGCGTGTTAGGCCTCTGTGTAATTTTCATTTTTTTCGGACACTAAAAAACAATCTAAATTTTGCTCAATAATGAATTCAGCTGAAACTGAATAGTCTCTTAGGCACCATCGCTTTTAGACAAGCAGCTTTGGTGTAGGTTTAGTCCAGGGGTCATCAGGTCTGGTCCTATATGGCCAGTGTCCAGCACAGTTTGGTGGTTTCTTTGCTCAAACAGACCTGATTCTACTCATCTGTTGATTGCCAGGTTTAGTAGCTGTGTAAGTGTGGGAATCGCCAAACTCTCTGGATGCTGGCCTTATAGGAGCAGAGTTGAACACTCCAGGTTTAGTGCAACGACTTTAGAATGAGAAACATTTGTTCATGCGCTCGCTGGCCTCATTGCTCCCCGTTGCACTTCAGACAGATGTAATCTTGGCCATCATTTGGTGATTTAAGACGATAGCGAGTTGCAAGAATAGAAGGATGCAGTTCAGTGCAAAGAGCATAAACTATAAAATAGGGATTTGCGGGTGTTTGCTTATCCTACACACTGCATGCGGCCTGTGTTTGTCATGAGGGACTGCAGCACTGCAAATAGCCAAACATCAGACAGGCTAAGGAAGCCCTCTGTTTATTAAGACAGAGAATTCCAGCGTGGTGGGATTGTGTTAATGTACGTCTGCTGCCTTGTTGTCTGCTGCTGCTGGAAAACTATGCGCACTCATACGCTCCTGGGTGACTCATCCGGCCTTACTCAGTACTGAAAAGAATGCCCACTGTAGGTCTAAAAACATTGGGCC